GACGCAACAGAACTAGCCGGTGCCTTCCATGCACAAGCTGCTGCTCGGCTCAACACGTCGACCCGCCACGTGGCCCCGAAGAGCCCCTGGGGACAAAAGGCGAAACCAACAACAAAAAACGATAGCAAGTACACAATAAAGCTATACGTTTCGGGCACCCTTCGCCGACGCCGATGTTGGACCCAAGCGCTCCGCAGGCTGCCCCAGGCGTTCCTAGACGCTCCCAGGCGTTCCCCGGGGCCACATTCCCTCCCCAAGCGTTCCCAGGCTTGCCGTCGCCACCACCAGCAACAGCATCCACATCCTCATCTTCATCATCCCCGTCGCCGCGATCGCGTTGACGCGCGGGCCAAAAAAAGGTGATCACAATGGGGCTCTCGCTCTGCTGGCGCCACACACCATCGTTTCACATCACCCGAGAACAGATCGAGGGCGGGGCGTCTTCAAAAGGGGGCTCTCGCCCTCGCGCCGTGCATACTCGGTCCATAGCTGCGCGAGTTGATGGCGAGTAATTTCCAAGATGGTGGGGGCATTGGACAATGAACCCTCCAATCAATATTCCAATTGTCTTGAAGCCAATGGAACTGCAACCGTAGACATGGCCATGGATCACCGCCGCCCTCATCAGATAAGGGATCCTCCAGGGTCTGCAGACTCCTAGGCACAATCCTGAACGAACGAACCCACCGTATTGGGGTCTCCCCTTGGCCTCGCTCGAACTCTACGATCTGGCGTTCCGAATCGTGCAACAACTAACACGGATGGAGGGCGGCTGCTCTTTCGAAACGGGGCTCTTGCGTGAGACTTCCGCGGAGCTTACGCCCACGACTTTGACATCCTGCAACGCGTCGACGGATGGAGGGTGCAGTCTTCTCAAGCTGCAACTTTTCCAAGGCCTCCGTGAAGGGCTCTCGCGTTGGAGTTCCGCGGGGCATGCGTCCACGACTCTGACATCCCGCAACGCTCAGACGAATAGAGGGCATGTGCTTCTCAAAATGAAGCTACCTGGGCGTCCTTGAAGTGAAGGGATAATCTTTTACAACAGGCGCCCTCGTCTGACTGGCGGACCGACTGGCCGCTCGTAATTCAATGGGGGCGCCCGCAGTGAAAAGGAATTCTTGTATGGATTCATGAGGAGGGGACTTGGGACGGGAGGGTGTGTTGCAGCATCTGTTGATACGTTTTGGGTTTACTCTCGTCATCCTCTTCCTCCTCCTCCTCCTCCTCCTCCTCCTTCTCCTCCTCCTGTTGTGAGTGTTCAAAACGTCGGAACCCTTCCCCAGGGTCGGATTCGCATCCAGGGCCATTATTTCTGACGGCCCCGAGGCCAGTCAAGGGCCCCCGAACGAACGAACGAAAGAAGCCGCGCCTAGACGGCGCATTGGCAAAGAAAGTGGTAGCACATGCGGTCAGGAAAAATGCAGGGCTCAAGCGCGCAAGCCCGCGGGCATCGCCGGGCCTCGGATTGCAATGCACAAGCATGCTGGTGCAGTGCGAGTGTGGACGGCGAAGCATTGGCCAGGGAGGAGGAGAGAGGAGGGAGGGGGACGAGGAAGGGAAGAGAGGTCGAGGTTGCGTCTGAACTATGGGGAACAAGGGGCAAGCAACACGCCGCCCCCCAAACCCCAATATAGAAGAGCGGAGCCAGGGCAGGCCTCAAGCCGCACCCGAGGCCCCCCTAGAAGCAGAGCGGGACAAGGACGCGCGTCAAGCCGCACCCTGAGACCAACATATGACTGCGAGGTGACAGTTTGGATTGCCACCGCTACTTTCCCAGAAAAGAATTACACGTCGTTTATTTCGAATCGTGCTCATTTCTAAGTGTGCTTTCTTCTACTTGTTCCTGGACCCCTAGTGGCCAGGAAGAGGCCCAAGATAGAACAATTAGAAATGAAAGGATCTTGCCGCCCCCCCCCCCAAAAAAAAACAAGAACTTTCGAATACTTAGAAATGAACAATGCGTAATGCAACTGAACAGTCAAGGGCCTCCGGAGGCGGAGAACTTATAAAAATCGTCCCCCGCGAGCTTTCACTACAAGGGGAGCTGGGGGTCCCTCAGGCTTGGAAATGGGCACCAACACCAACACGGGGGGGGTGCCTCCACCAGGGGAAGACGATCCTAAAGGCCTCGTCAAATATAAACTGAAACGCCGTTCAAAATCGAGGCGCTCGATGGTTCTGGCACTTGTCAGAAAACGCTCTCTTCAATGCTGTGAGGGTACTGCCGGATTTCGGACACCCATGCGTCTGGGCCGAATACCTCATGCCAGCATTGAAGCGCCCACCACGCAAGCACCGAAAACAAAAAACGCTATTTCCCTACCTAGGCTCTGCCTAGAAGGGTTCTTACTTTATAAGCTTAAAGGGCCGGGCAGTGTTCCTCGCCCCGGGCGGCTCCCCCGGCATCCGCCCCGCGGTTCCCCCAGTTGCGCTCCCTGGGTTCACACAGCTTAGATTAGCTAAGCTAAGCTTAGCTTGACTTAGCTTAGCTTAGCTTAGCTTAGCTTATATCATAGTAGCTTGGCTTAGCTTAGTTTAGCTTAGCTTAGCTTTGCCTAGCCTAGCTTACCTTAGCTTAGCTTAGCTTGGCTTAGCTTAGTTTAGCTTAGCTTTAGCTTAGCTTTAGTTTAACTTTAGCTTAGCTTTAGCTTAGCTTTAGTTTAGCTGTACCTTAGGTTTAGCTTAGCGTTAGCTTAATTTTAGCTTAGTTTTACCTTAGCTTTAGCTTAGTTTTAGTTTAGCTTTAGCTTAGCTTCAGCTTAGCATTAGCTTTAGCGTAGCTTTAGCTTATATTTAGCTTAGGTTTAGCTTAGCTTCAGCTTAGCTTCAGCTTAGCTTTAGCTTAGCTTTACTGTTACTACTAATGCTGTTTTCCTAGGGGCTCCAACTCCTAGGTAGGGTCGCACTGGGATATTTGTTTGACGAGTCTTGTAGGCTTCGGCGTTAGTAGTATCCGGCCACCTGGAAGCCGAAACATGACCGCCACCACCGAGATCGAGATCATCTTCCGTGTGGACGCACACGGCCGATTCATCACCGTGACGAAAGTTTCTTCCAACCTGACCTCGTCAATAGCACCTCAGCGCGGAGTAGTTCGGAATTGAAATAGTCCAACTACTCCGCGCGTGGGCGCAACCCGCTCGATGATTGATGGGGTTTTGCAAGGAGTAACTTCCGATCCGATTTGGGGGTAACAGGGTCACAACCCTTAGTCGGATCGGAAACTACCCCGCCGAATGGCGCAGTCATCATGCCGTGCTAGGCACCTTCAAGAGGGATAGGAGATGTCATCACCATGGCCAATTGAAGAGATTGTTCTGTCACGGCTGCGTGTATTGGTGTCCAACCCCTAGGCCTCCGACCCTTGATCCTCCTCCGGTCCTCGTCCAGGGGCGGGCGCTTCAGCCCCTTCGGCCACAGCGACAGGGGCTCGTCGGTGTCCGGCCACCACGCTCCTGCGGGGCGGGGACACGATCTGCCGCGCGCGCGAGGGGCGGCAGGAGGGAGGGGAGGGGGAGGGGGGAGGGGAGGGGGGAGGGGAGGGGGGGAGGGGGAGGGGGGAGGGGAGGGGGGGAGGGGAGGGGGAGGGGAGGGGGGAGGGGGGGAGGGGGGGGGGAGGGGGGGAGAGGGGAGGGGAGGGGTGGGGGGAGGGGGGGAGGGGAGGGGAGGGAGAGGGGGAGGGGAGGGAGGGGGAGGGGAGGGGGGAGGGAGGAGGGGAGGGGGAGGGGGGAGAGGAGGGGAGGGGAGGAGAGGGGATGTGAGGGAGGGTGGAAGGCCACGGTCGGGAGCTTTTTTTCTCCAGCGCGTCGCGGCGGCGGCCCCGGCGGCTCGCCGCGCCTGGCGAGCAGACGGCGTGTTTGCTCCGCTCCAGGGGCCTGATTCCAAGGCTTTGCCCTCTCTTGGCCTTGACGTGAGGCCCCTCCTTCTGCCTCCCCCCTCTGTCAATTCAAGATGTGCGCGGCCCGCTTAGCTTCCACTGGAAGAGGCTCGCTCTCGACCCGTGGATCAAAAAAAGTTTGCTCCGCTCCGCGGGGCGGGAGGCCCGGAAGGGCTCGGGACGCTGAAGCTTGGAAAGGGGGACGTGGATACAGTGGAGGCCCATGCCAAGAAGCACCCTGCTTGCCTCCAGGGTGCCCTGAGTTTCTCGGGTTTCGATGGTCTTGCTGTGGAGCGCGCGACGCTCCCACACCAAAAGCGATGGACGTCCTGGGGTCTCGGGGTTGGGCTTCTTGCGGAAAATTTCTTGTGGACTGGCCTCCACTGTACCGTGGTCGCGCCGAAAGCATGGCGAGCCAGAACCGGCGGAGCACCACGCTATCCGAAAGTTCCGGACCGCCAGGCGCTCTCCAAAGAGGACCTGGCTCAAATCCGACGCACACGGGGCAGCCGTGGGCCCCCGCGCCCTCCTCGGGAAGGGGCGCGGCGAGGTGCGGAGAGCACCTCTTCAGGAGGAGGGCGCAGACCTCCTCGCGTCGTGGCCACGTCACGGCGGAGAGGCTCTGGGCTAGTTTCGGCTTCCCGGACTCCACTGCCGAGACCCAGGACAGTCAAAAACCAGCGCGGGGCGAAAACACTGCATCTGGGACAGGGTCGAGACCTCTTGGGGTCGCCGCTGCGAAAACAAACGAACAAAACTACGCAAACACACACACGCACACACGCACACGCACACGCACACGCACACGCACACGCACACACACACACACACACACACACACGCAAACACACATACATACACACACACAAAACAGCAAAGCGAGCTTAGCAATAAGACAAATACGTCGGAGGTAACCGCCAAGGGTCTTTACTGATAGGGGGCCTTCCCCTCCCAGAAGCTCTCGGCGGGCACTTAAATTCGTCCTACCCTTCCTCGTCTTCCCCTCCTCGTCTTCCCCATCTGAAACCTTAGAAGCCAGACGAATCCATGAGAATCCTAAGGAATTCCTGGGACTCTTCGAACCCCTGGAAATCCCAGCTGTGGCCGCCGCGGAAGACGAATGATTTTCCCAGTCTTGTTTGCGGTCCCGATCTGCCAAGCAGCCCGCTCAAATAACAGTTTCCATTGTTACTAAGAGGTGCCTTCAGGAGCCTTAGAGGTTCTGGGGAGAACGGCGAAGGAAAGAGAGGACATGGAAGCGTGATGAAGTTGGGCAAAAGCAAAACAGCTGATTCAACTGCAGGTGGAAGTGGCGCGGGTGCGGGAGGGAGGGAGGGAGGAGGACATAGGAGGCAAAGGGGGAGAGACAGGAAGAGGAAGGAGAGAGGAAATGGGAGAAGAGAGAATGGAGCAGGGAGGGAAGAAACGGAGGATGGGGAGGATCATGGGAGCCCCTGACAGCCTTTGCCTTCTCCTCCCACCAGAACGTTGTAAATCCGACCCCCTCGAACTCTGGGCTTCGAGATGCCGCGCGAGAGATGATCCAACGCGTTTCGCCCGAGACATCCTCCCGATTCTGAATTTCAAGATGCCGCGCGAGGTTGTCTGGCGCATTTCACCTGAAACATCTTTCACGTTTCACCTGAGACGTTCTCCAAGTTAGGTCCTGAACTCCAAGACGCCGTGAGAGGGGTGATCAAACGCGTTTCGCCTGTGACATCCTCCCAACTCTGCGCTCCAAAATGCCGCGCGGGAGGTGGTCCGCCCCGTTTTGCCCGAGACACCTTCGCAACTCGAGTTTCTGAGATGCCGCTCGCGACGTGGTCCGGCGCGTTTCGCCTGAGAGATCTTCCCAATTCCAAGAGTCCGCGCGAGGGGTGGACTGGCCCGTCTCACCTGAAACATATTCGCAGCTTTGGGCGTCGACATCCTCTTCTGGAATCTTCGCTCATGATCGTGCATACTCCTCTCTTCCACGTTCACGTGCTGATCATCCACTTTCCCATCCTCTTCCTCTTCCTCCTCTCCCCTCCACCTGTTCATCAGCATCATCATCATCAGCATCATCATCATAATCAGCATAGTCATCATCATCAACATCATCATCATCATCGTCGTCCTCCTCATCATCATCCTCCTCCTCCTCACCATCATCATCATCCTCGTCATCATCATCGTCCTCATCATCCTCATCATCGTCATCATCAGCATCAGCATCATTATCCTCATCATCATCATTATCCTCGTCATCATCCGCATCATCATCATCATCATCGTCATCATCACCATTCTTTGCAATATAGCTCCAAGGTTTGCCGTGAGACGATGCGCACGGGCCGCCCCCACAGGTACGAGGACCCCTTGACCGAGGCCGCGGACCAAGCCGCCCGCGAGCCAGCACGAGCCGACGCGTTGGCCGGGTAGCGTGCGCCTCGTGGCTCGACAGCGGCGGCCACCCGAACCGACCGACTCCACCCGACGAGGCGCGCGCAGCGGCACCCGCGCGCCACGCGACCTCCTCCTCCTCCTCCTCCTCCTTCTTCTCCCCCTCCTCCTCCTCCTTCTCTTCCTCCTCCTCCTCCTCCTCTTCCTCCTCCTCCTCCTCCTCCTCCTCCCTCCCCCTCCTCCTGCTGTGCAACGGGAGCGAGCAGCACGCAGCGCACCGGCCTCCCGCACTAGCCTCCGTCTCTCGGGGCACCTTCAGGTCACGCCACGCTCGCTCGCTCATCGGCACCATTACCCGCCAGCATCATCACTATCAGAAGACTTGTTTCACACGATAACACACCGCAACAGGCGTTACCAACTCGCCTGCGAATCCATATCGACGTGACCAGCGCAGGCTTCCTCTGAACTTCACAGGTAGAGTGTGCAGCGCGCCTCCTGATGGACCCTGGATCAGCGAATCCCCCGCATGGATCATCACAGAAGACTCGTCGCAGCACCAGCAGCATCATGACCATCGTGATCGGCATCGTCATCCTGCCCGTCCCAACCGTCCTCGTCCCCGTGTTCATCCCTCCGTCTTCCCTCCTACGTCTACTCCTCCTGCCTGCTCGTCCTCATCATCTCAATCCTTTTCCAAACCTTCCGCGCGCTCCCCGAACTACAGTGCCAGCACCGGAAGTGTAGGAGGGAAGAGGAGGAGGGCCACGAGGCAGAGGAGGAGGGAGGAGAAGGGAGAGGATGAAGAGAGAGAAGAAGGAAGGGGGAAGAGGAAAGAGGACGGAGGGAGGAGGAGGAAGCCCAAAAAGGACGCACGCGCCAAGCCACGTACATGAAGATGCTCCCCTGCTTGCGGGGCCACCAACATGTCACTCACGCTCGTGCATTGCGTATGCACTCTCGAAACACATGTGAATTCATGTCCGCGCACGTCTCTTCTTCGCACCCGAGGAAAGAGCAAGAGAGAGAGAGAGAGTGTGAGAGAGAGAAAGAATAGAGGAGGAGGAGAAGGAGGAAGAGGAGGAGGAGGAGGAGAGGAGGAGAGGAGAGGGGCGGGGGGGGCAGAGAAGGAGGGACATGGCTGGAGGAGGGCGGAGCGCGGAGGCGGGGAAGAGAGCGTTCGGGGCCGCCCGTCCTATGCGGTCGTTGCCCCGCAGGTTGTAAAAGTACATCAGATCCTTCGGCCGCGAGGAGGAGGAGGAGGAGGAGGAGGAGGAGGAGAAGAAAGATGAGGAGGAGGAGAGGACGAGGAGGAGGGAGGAGGAGGAAGACGCAGGAGGAGGAGGATGAGGAGGAGGAGAGGAAGACGAGAGGAGGAGGAGGAGGGGAGGAGGAAGACGAGGAGGAGGAGGAGGAGGAGGAGGAGGAGGAGAGGAGTGAGAGGAGGAGGAGGAGGAGAGGAGGAGGAGGAAGGACTAGAGGAGGAGGAGTGAGTGAGGAGAGGAGGAGGAGGAGGACTAGGAGGAGGAGGAGGAGGAGGAGGAGGACGAGAGGAGGAGAGGAGGAGGAGGGGAGGAGGAGGAGGAGGAGGAGAACTAGGAGGAGGAGGAGGAGGAGGAGGAGGGAGGGAGGAGGAGGGACTAGGAGGAGGAGGAGGAGGAGGAGGAGTAGGAGGAGGAGGAGGAGGAGAGGGGGATGAGGAGGAGGAGGAGAGGAGGGGAGGAGGAGGAGGGGAGGAGGGGGAGAGGAGGGAGGGAGGGGAGGAGGGAGGAGGAGGAGGGAGGAGGGAGGAGGGAGGAGGGAAGAGGAGGAGGGAGGAGGGAGGAAGGGAGGAGGAGGAGGGAGGAGGAGGAGGGAGGAGGGAGAGGGAGGAGGAGGGAGGAGGGGAGGAGGAGGGAGGAGGGAGGAGGGAGGAGGGGGAGGAGGAGGAGGAGGGAGGAGAGGAGGAGGAGGCGGAGGAGGAGGAGGACTAGGCGGAGGAGGAGGAGGAGGAGGAGGAGGAGGCGGAGGAGGAGGAGAGGAGGAGGAGGAGGAGGAGGAAGGAGGAGGGAGGGAAGGAGAGAGGAAGGAGGAGGGAGGAGGGAGGAGGAGGAAGGAGGAGGGAGGAGGAGGAAGGGCGGAGGGAGGCGGAGGAGGAGGAGGGTAGGAGGGAGGAGGGAGAGGAGGAGGAGTGAGGAGGAGGAGAGAGGAGGAGGAGGAGGGGAGGAGGAGCAGGAGGAGAAGGAGGAGAGGAGGAGGAGGAGGAGGAGGAGGAGGAGGGGTCGCCTAAGCCCTCCGGAGAAACTCTCCACCTCAGGGAGATGATAATGCAGCGGGTCATGGGCCACGTGGTCGTGGAGCTCTGGCGGGCGCTCACGCCAGCGCTGGACAAGGTCAAGGATAGCGCGGAGGAGGCCTGCGAGGAAGAGCTCCACCCTGACGGGGAGGCCTCGGAGGTGGGCGCCAGGAGCAGCGGCGAGGTCGCTCCCTCGTGCTGGCGTCCGGATGCGGCGCAGGAGCCCGCGGCGGAGAAGACGGAGGACGAGGAGATGTAGGAGGAGAAGGTGAAAGGGCGGGCCCCCAGCCTTCAGCCTCGGGAGGGGACCAGCTGTGCAGCTGCTGCCAAGGCGGACGCGGGGACGCCGTCTGGGTCTACTGGCGAGGCACGGTCAGGGAGCTGGTCCCCCAGGTCTCCGACTGGGAGAGCCTGCAAGCGCCCGCGATTGGCCAGCGCTCCTCCGCTCCTGGAGAAGAAGTCCACGGTGGCCACGGCGCGGCCGGCCAAGGCGGACGGCATGGCGCGACCCGCGAGGAAGCGTGTGACGCAGGCCCAGAAGGCAGGAGAGCCCAGAATCGAATCGAGAAGTCGGATCGGCGATCGACATGAATCGGGTCGGCGGAAATCGGCAGCCGACTCGGGAAAAGTCGAATCGGCAGACATCGGCAGGCTAGTAGGCCTCCAGTAAGAAATCAGAGCCCAGATCGGAATCCGAGGTCGGAATCGAATGGGAATCGGAAGCGATCGAACCCGAATCGGAAACGATCGGAGAAACGAAACGAGCCCCGAGGGCGGAGAGGCTGGCGAAGCGCCAGGCGGCGCGGGGATGGCATAGCCACCGGCCGAAAAAGCACGAGCATTAAAATAGCTTGGGGACGATTTTTCTGAGTACTTTTGAATATGCTTGGAACATGTTTTGGCCATTTCTATTTTTCGTCCAAAATCCCCCTGTAGGGGGACAGGCCCGACCTAACACGAGCACCGGGGCTATGCATAGGACGCAGGCGCGAGAGCCACCGGGGGGGGCCTCCTCCCGTGGAAGCCGTGTCGCGCGGAGTGCGACGGCAGCGAGGGCGCCTCCGAAGCCGCCGAGTGCGCGGATGCGCTGAAGGGGGTCTTGTGAGCGTTTTTTTGATTCGGCGTTTCGACATTGGGCGGAAAGAGGGAGAGGGGGGGTCTGGCTCCGGACCTCTGCTTAGTGCGACTGTTTGCGACAGTGCGTCCTATGGGGGATGGACTATACCTGCTCGAAAACAGGCGCCAAAAACAGCCAAGATCCACTCCAGGGGGGGGGAAGGGGAGGTGCGAGGGCCCGCGCCGATCGGCAAAACAATGAATGAAGGAGCGATCACCTTCGCGCTGGAGGGGGTCTTCGGTACAGTGGGGGCCGATCCACAAGAAACCTTACACAAGAAGCCAAACCCTGAGACCCCAGGGCGTCAATGGATTCTTGGTGTGGGAGCGTCACGCTTTCCATTTTGCGTCGGAGCCCACGGAACCCAAGGCACCCTGGAGGCAACCAGGGTGTTTCTTGGCATGGGTCTCCACTGTAGGCCCACGTGGCCCGATGACCTGGACGAGGACTCGCTGGCGGTCCAGACGCCCAGGGTGCATTGGGGCGCAGAGGCAGGATGCGACAACGAGCCGCTGGCCAAGGAGCCCCACGTAAACGCCGACGTCGTTGAGGACCCGAGCCCGGCACTGGCGGGGCGCTCCGCTGGCGAAGTGCAGCAGGGCCTGGACGAGTACGAGGCCAAGGGGCACGCGACTGAGCTCGTGAGGGAGCTCGGCCTCGGTGGCGCCGTCCGGGGTATCGTGAGCAGTTTCGACGGGGCCGCGCAGTTCAACGCCTGTGACGCTGCAAGCGTCCTCGGCGCCGACGCCTTCGACAGGATCCTCTTCTTCGGGGACCAGCCTGTCGTACCGAGCCCACGAGGGCCACGGATTGCCGCACTTTCGCTCCTCGGCGTCGGGGGCCCCACCACGGTTGGACTCGGCTTGGGGGGGGGGTCGAGGGCGAGGAGGGGAGGAGGAGGAGGAGGAGGAGGAGGAGGAGGAGGAGGAGGAGGAGGAGGAGGAGGAGGAGGAGGAGAGAGGAGGAGGAGGAGGAGGAGGAGGAGGAGGAGGAGGAGGAGGAGGGAGGAGGAGGAGGAGGAGGAGGAGGAGGACGACGGCGACGACGACGACGACGACGACGACGACGACGACGACGACGACGAAGATCGAGAAAGATCTCGGGGGAGGGTGCTTGGAAAGCTGAGGGCCCCTCCCCAAGGCCTGGATGGGCCCACAGGCTGGGCCGTGGCGGCCAGGTCTCCCGGGCTGGCCTGGCCCCCGGGGGGCCTTTCTGGGAGCCTCTTGCCGCGCAGAAGCGCGTGCCGCCCGTGGGGCGCAGCGGAGCACCCGCATCCACTCGTTCGCCTCGTTCACCTCCTCCTCCCTCCCCCTCTTCTGATTCTCTCCCTCATCCTCCCCCGAAGTCTTCCCCGAAGGGTTTCCATCACGGCCCGGGGAACACACAGTTCGATAACTGATCCAGGCTTTGGCCACAACGTTCAGCCACATCGGCGCTTCCAACAGGCAGGGGGCGGCGGTGATTCGCCGTAGGCATCTGCGATAATCCACATGGACCCCCGAGTGTGGGTCTTAATGTGACATATGCTTCGGACTTATGAACAACGAAGGGTTTTCGACGCGATTGCCTCAAGGCTTCCGCGGTCTCCGCTTCTACTGCTATGCTTCTGCCATATCCAAGATCAGAGTTTGGGTTTTCGCTTGCGACCGGTTCGACTAGCCGATCAGACTCTGCGCAGGTGTCCGCTGGTTTCTTCGCGGTTTCAGCAGGTTCCCGTCCGTCCGCCGTCGCGCCCAGGCGACCTCCTGACTAAGCAACAGATTTCATCCTCGACGTCAGCTGCACCACGACCATCGTCCAAGCCACCATCATCGCCATCTGCGTCATCACAATCGCCATCCTGGCTGACATCCCGATCACCGCTGCGACGGTCCCTGCACTCGTTCTTGCCCGGCCCAAAAAAAATCGCACACTATGGGAAGCAGAATCTTCTGGCGTCTGCCAGGGCGGCCCGGGGCGTCTTCAAGAGTGGACTCCAAAGCATGGGAGCTCCAGAAATGCCGCAGGTGAACACACAAAAATACGACGTGCAGGACGCATGCCAAAAGAACCACACGCCCCCCTAGAATACAGGCAAGAGCAAGAGCGCCCCAAACTGATTTACTCCCCAAACAGTGCTTGCACTTAGGGATTCTTACCTCTGATCTGAGGAATTGGGCTTGTGTGCCTCTCTGGTGGCTGTGCAGTCGCCGTCGCCGCCACGTCGCTGCCTCGCCGCCGCCCGTCGTCTGGGGCAGTGTGCCGCTCCATCTGCTATGTAGTCGCCGTCGCCACCCCGTCACCGCCTCGTCGGCGCCCGTCGTCTGGGCCGGTGTGCCGCTCTGGCGGCTGTGTAGTCGCCGCCACCCGGTCGCCGCCTCGTCGGCGCCCGTCGTCTGGGCCAGTGTGCCGCTCTGGCGGCTATGTAGTCGCCGTCGCCGCCCCGTCGCCGCCTGGTCGCGGCCTCGCAGAACTGCACCACGTAGATTGCACCACACTGCTTGCACCACATAAGTTGTACCGAGCAGATAGCACAGCATAGATCGCAACACACTGATTGCACAACATAGATCGCAGCACATACATTGCACAACATAGAGTGCACCACATGGATTGCACAACATAGATCGCAACGAATATACTTCGGCGGGACGGAACTGTCGTCGGAAATACGACGGACCGAAATCACCTGAAGCCGAAGTCTGGAGAAGCCTGGGATAATTGCTTCAAAAGGGGAAACCAATGGGATAATTGAGGCTGGGATCTGGGAGACACTGGGATAACCGTAATAAAAATGGGAACAGTTCGGCCCCGGATCTAAATAGATTACATACTATTGAGACCCAGGACCCCACGGTTTAATTTTA